AGTTTGTATCTGCTCTGTTCATTGTTCTCTCCAGGGTCTAGAAAGAGAACCTGGCACATGGCAGGCGTGGAACATATGTGTGTTGAGTAAGTGAACAGGATATGCAGATGACGGCTAAGATGTACCCAGACAAAGCGTCGTTCCGGTGATCAGGAAAGGCTTCACCGGAAGGATAGCATTTTGGCTGTGGTGCGGAGAGGTACGGCAGTGTTCCAGAAAAAGGTGAAGATATGATTCAGGAAAGCGGGGAGAAACAAGGTCATTGAATTTACTTTCAATTTATGCCCTTACTTCTAATAACTTTTTTTCTGGGAATAATTAACAGTGTCAGCAGTCTGGGCTCCAGAACCCCATGGTAGCATGTCCCTTTCCCAAGGCATTAACTGCAGATTTACGCTGGCTCTTAAGATGTGTTTTAACTCTAGGCATGGATCCGACCTTCCTCTGTGTTCCCTTTCAACCCTGCCTTTTCTTTTCTAACATCATCTTCAAAGGGAGACAGAAGACCCTGAGTAAGAGGAGGCAAAATCCTTTTTACTTTCAGTTTGACTTCTTGGTTCTTTGTTTGAGAAGGCGGGGGTGGTGGGGCGGCCCTTGCCGTCTGCCTCCCACTCACTCCCTTATGCCATGCCTCCCTCCGCCATTGCTCCTGGATGGGGGTGTGACTCAGCCGCTGCTGCTCCCCTGCCGAGGGGCCCTCTGATTTCTGACTTCACTCTTGGCTCTCCAGGCCCCTTGCCCTGCTGCCTGAACTCTTTTCAAGCACAGCAAGATGCAAGAGGCCTGGGCCATGGAGTTCTGCAAAGAATAAGGAAGCCTCGTGGCAAAACAGCAAGGAGGAGCTGGGGGGCACCACTCCGTCCCCCCCTCCCCTTTCTGTGTGCTCAGTCTCCTGCCACCACTCATTTCCTTTATGTGGTGTTGATTTATTTACCTTCTATCCTCGTTCTACCCATTTCTTGAATGTTTACACTAGGTTAGGTGCTCAGCATGCAAAGATGGCAATCCCTGACTTTAAAGGCAGAATTATCCGTGTAGTAACAGGGTACAGAATAATGGATCTTCACAGAGGACTCTACCATTTGACTTGTCTATACCTTGTGCTTGGCTGAATGTGTTCCCTAATGTAGCTGACAATTTGTCTTAATTAACCAAACATGTTTTTTTTAAAGATTTTATTTATTTATTTGACAGAGAGAGACACAGCAAGAGAGGAAACATAAGCAGGGGGAGTGGGAGAGGGGGAAGCAGGCTTCCAGCTGAGCAGTGAGGCTGATGCGGGGCTCAATCCCAGGACCCTGGGATCACGACCTGAGCCAAAGGCAGACCCTTAACGACTGAGCCACTCAGGCACCCCTAACCAAACATGTTTACTGGAAAGATTAAACCATGTATATGTAGTAGCCTGTGTAATTAAAAAAAAAAAATCAATGCTACTGTAAAATGGAGAGTCATAAAAAAACACTGATACTTGAAAGAAAATACACACTACTCTTTTTATTGGTTGAGAGCACAGACTTGGAAGCCATACCATGTGATTCAAATTTTGATTTCTCTGTTAACTAGCTGTGTGGTATTAAGTAAGTCATTCCATCTCCCTGAGTCTCAGTTTCTTTGTGAGAAATGGGAATGATAATGCTATCTATGTCTGGGGGGTAGTTGGGGGTATTTCAGGATGAAATGAGTATTTGCAAAGCCCTGAGAACCATGGCTGGTGCGTACAAAGTGCTGTGTAAGTGTTAGTCGTGACTGGAAGTGTTTCTACTTTTTTAGGTCTTAACCATGGACTAGGCTGGATTTCAGTGCCTTGTTTGAACATGAGAAAATATTTCTTTTCCCAGAAACTGGCCTATGTTTCTGTGTCATACCTTCTATACACCATTTCACACTACTTCAGTGAAGGATCTAGAGATTCCTTTGTACATCATCAGGCACAATCTGCAATCAGTATCAACGGTTGTTCCTCAGAGCTGCTAACACTGTCCCATTAATTCCAGGTCCCACCGTGCTGCCTGGTACTTTTAATGAACAGCCGGGCAGGCTCTGCAGCAGTGAACATTGTCTTGCTACCTTTCATAATAATGAACTTGTAGGGAATTATTAGATTTTTTCCTACTTTTGAGGAATAGCTTGAGTTCAAGTAATAGCATAGTGATGCTGCCTTAGATTTGAAAAAAGAAAAGCAAACGGAGACAGTTTAGGAATAGCCGTGATTTGTAGGTGATGGATGGTCCACATTGGAGTCTAAACTAAAGATACCCATCTCTTTTTCATTCGCCAAGATGACTAACAGTTTGTCCAAAAGATATCGTTAAGTGGATTTGTTGCTTTGGAAAGAAATAAGCCTTTGTGAAATTCAGAATCACATCTTTTTGTAAAGTCAGGAACCTTTCTTTCTGCTCAATGGGTGTTTTCTCTGATGTGGTTTCTGTAAGATCCATTCTCCTGGTGCTTCCTGCTATATCTGTCTACTTTCTAGGGGACTTATCTGAACCCTGGGTGGAGGCCTCGTGGTAGGTCTTGAGTTGGGTCTCTTGGGGGAGAGGGCCAGAGCACAACACCACAGATCAAAACCAGAGAGGCCTCCATCTATCTGTATGGCTGGTAGAGAAAGGATTGTATCACACATAAGGGCAAGTTGAAAGTAAATTGAATGGGGAATAAAAAGAAAGGATAATAAAAGGAAGAGGCTTGAAGACAATTTCTGTAACCAGGACTGGGATATATAAGTCTACTGTTTTTATTGTTCACTGATCTGTGGTCTTTGAGTTTACAGGCACAAGACTGGCATACACATACCCCCCTTCTGGCTGACCCACATAACAATTTCTGTTAAAAGTAAGAGGCATTATATTATCCTGGACTTTTTTTTTTTTTTTTAAAGATTTTATTTATTTACTTGACAGAGAGAGATCACAAGTAGGCAGAGAGGCAGGCAGAGAGAGAGAGAGGGAAGCAGGCTCCCTGCTGAGCAGATAGCCGGATGCGGGACTCTATCCCAGGACCCTGAGATCATGACCTGAGCCAAAGGCAGTGGCTTAACCCACTGAGCCACCCAGGCGCCCTATCCTGGACTTTTGATCCTGGATTTTGATTACTTGAACATAAGTAATACCAATAGAGTTAAAAAATAAGCAAATATGTTTAGAAAATACAATTTGAATTTCTGTTGATTATAATCATTATGAATTACCTGTTGAGATGAAGTGATTGCTGTCATCTCAGTAAAATTTCTACTTTATTTTTCAGCTCAAAAGATTTTTAAAGTGTAAACATAATGTATCCTCAAAATAGTTATTGTGTTATTATAAGGTATTTACCAATTAATGAACTTTTCTTTTTTCACACTCGAGGGGGAAATGAAGACAAACAAGCATTCTTATAACTAATCTTCATCATACTGAATTCTTACTGGGGTTTAACCTAGATGCAACACAAAGCTTTCAGTGCGAATCAAAGATGTAGTTTTAATTTTAGATGTTGAGATGAGATGTCAAAACATCTTATTCAAGCTGAATGATCCATATAGTTGTTTCTGCAATGCACACTAGATCTCAAGCAAGGGAATTTCATATTTTTATCCTTGAAATCCTCTGGCACTATGCCATTGTTTTTAGCATAACATTGTTAATGCTGCATTTGAGTTTGTTGCCTTAGAATTCCTAGGGAGCTGAATGCAGTGGCTCAAAGAAAATAATTATTAAGATACCCGAAAGAAGTACTTTATATATTAGTGCTTGAAGGGGGTGCTGAATGGTGGGGAATTGTTTAAAACAGTCTTTGTTTGGCAGCTAGGAGAGGCTGTATAGGAGGGAACATAAGTGTCAATCATGAGACATCAAAAAGCCTCTTAATTGTACAATTTAAAGGTTCTTAATATGTTCATGGAGTTGTGCATGCATCACCAATATTAATTCCAGAACATTTTAATCACACCTCAAAGAAACTGTATCCATGGGGTGCCTGGGTGGCTCAGTGGGTTAAGCCTCTGCCTTCAGCTCAGGTCATGATCTCAGAGTCCTGGGATCCAGCTCCACATCGGGCTTTCTGCTCGGCAGGGAGCCTGCTTCCCTTCCTTTCTCTCTCTGCCTGCCTACTTGAGATCTCTGTCTGTCAAATAAATAAATAAAATCTTTAAAAAAAAAAAAAAGAAAGAAAGAAACTGTATCCATTAGCAGTCACTCCTCATTTCCTCTAATCTCCCCAGCCCTGGGCAGCTGTTAGTCTACTTTGTGTCTCTATAGATTTGCCTGTTCTTGACATTCCATATGACGGAATCTTACAACATGTGGCCACTTTTCTTTTAATGTGATAAAAATCCGAAAACTTAAAATTGACCATTTAAAAGAGTCTTCATCGTTTTTAAGTGTGAAGTTCAGCAGTATGGGCACATCATGGTGACACACATCTCCAGAACTTTTCCATCTTGCAAATCTGAAACTCTGCAGCCCAAGAAAAAGCAGCTTTCTACTCACCCCCTTCTTCCCAGCTCTTGTGAACCACTATTCTACCTTCTGTTTCTATTAATTGGACCACTTTAACTGCCTCATGTAAGTGGTGGGATCATACAGTATTTATGTTTTTGTGACCGGCTTACTTCACATGGCATAATGTCCTCAAGGTTCATCCATGTTGTAGTGTGTGGGAGGACTTCCTTTTTAAGGTGGAATAATGTTCCGTTGTATGCACAGACCACATTTCATCCACTCATCTGTCGGTGGGCTTTTGAGTTGCTTCCACCTCGTGGCTCTTGGGAATAGTGCTGCTACGAACATCGTTGTACACATAGCTCCTGGAGACCCTGCTTGCAACTATTTGGGATGTATACCCAGAAATGGGATTGCTGGATCATATAGTAGTTCTATTTTTAATTTTTTGAGGAACCTCCATACTGTTTCATCAGTTGCATTATTTTACTGTTGTCCCACAGTACACAAAGGTTCCAATCTGTCCACATCCTTGCCAACACTTATTTTCTGTTTCTTCATTGGTTTTTTTTCCAAGCCTTTTGATTTTTTTATTACTCAAAACAGCTTCATTTTTTTTATTTAGCTTTCTGGCTCTGTGCTTGTGCCTTCAACACTTTCACAACGATTTTCTGCTCCTCGATAAGGAAAGCACGCTTGATCCTGTCACGAACACACTTGGCACACATGGAACCACCGTAGGCCCTGCTGACATGTTTTTTCGTTTTAGACAACCTCATAAGCACTTTAGACCTCACAGCACGAACTCCTCGAAGTCGGCCTGGGCACACGCCACATGCAGATTTTGGTGCTTTCCCAACCTTCTTGGTATAAAGGTAAACGATTCTATTACCTGGGGTTCGGGACAGCCAAGTTTTATTAGAGGCTGTATTGTAGGACAGCCTACGACGGTAGGTCAAACGCTGGACCATTCTGAATGCCTACGGAAGCCGTCCCCGGAAGAGCTCTTCATTGGTTTTTATTGTAGCCATCCAAATGGGTGTGAGAGGATATGTCATTGTTCTTTTGATTTGCATTTCTCTGATGATTAGTCATGTTGTTGTTTTTTTTCTTTTTACATATTTATTGGCCATTTGTATATCATCTTTGAAGAAATGTTTAGTCAAGTCCTTTGTCTATTTTTGAATTGGATTATTTTTGGTTTTGAGTTGTAGGAATTCTTTTTAAAATTCTAGATGTAGCCACTTACCAGATGTATGATTGGTAAACATTTTCTTCCATTCTCTAGGTTGCCTTTTTTCATTCTATTGCTTCTGTCCTTTAATGCACAAGTTTTTAAGTTTGATATTGTCCCATTGGTCTAAGTTTGTTTTTGTTGCCTGTGCTTTTTGTCACATATTCGAGAAATCATTCTAAAAGTCTTTTACGAATGCATGTATGTGGCCAACATCTGCTTGTGAGAGCTAACAGAGGTCAGTAACTCAAAAATTAATGTCTATATTTACATTTAAGGTGCAGTTTTTATTTACATCTGATTATATGTATACCTGTAGTTCTCAGAAGTAATTGCCAGCAAAGTAATGAAGCTTTGCTATGAATATATGAGTCAAGGAAAGCTAAAAGTATGTTTGTTTTTTCCTGGCTTGAACCCCAAGTCAAGACCTACCTGAGGGAGTTTTTCCCAGGCCTGTCTTTCAAAGAGTTTTCTTGGTAGGATGGAGACTATGCAAGGAACTCAACAGAAATAAAACCAGATTACTTCATGTTTAATTTGTTAAAATATGCCACAGGTAAATTAAAATTGAATGTAAAATCTGCATAACCTAAGATTTAACTCTATAATAATGCCCAAATACAGGAACTTAGGCAACTTTGCTATAAAATAAATTCTTTCCCCTACTTTCCAGCAGGGGTTAGTATATATGAGTTTGTATGTGGAAAGGGTTAGTTTGGATCGATGTATATCCATACTCAGTGATTCATTGTTCTCTTCCCGTGTTTCTTGTTTGTTTTATGGTTTTTATTTTATTTTATTTTATCTTATTTTATTTTTTAGAGAGAGAGAGAGTGAGCAGGGGTAGGGGCAGAAGGAGAGGGAGAGAATCTCAAGCAGGCTCCGTGCCCAGCACAGACCCTGATGCAGGGCTTGACCTCAAACCTGAGATCATGACCTGAGCCAGAATCAAGAGTCTGTCGCTTGACTGACTGGGCCACCCGGACACCCCGGTTTTATAGTTTTTATTTACTTATTTGTTTAATGTGTGATGCCTTCCTATTGACCTTCCTTACTGAAATAGGAAGCTGGGCGCCAACTCTCAGCCTTCATCCCCTCATATTTCACGTCTATTCAGTCGCAAAATTCTTTCAGTTTTACCTCCAAAATATAAGGCCTCTTCTCGCCTTGAATCTTGTCATGATTCCTGCTTTCCTTGTGCAAGACATCGTGTTCCGGCCCAGATACCACAGCAGCCTTCTCACTGGTCTGGCTGCTTTGATGTACCCCTTGAACGGAAGTCGTCTTTCTAAAACACAGTGTGCTCACATCTCTCTTCCTTAAAACTCCTAACATGTTGTTCTTAAGAGTATTGTTACGTTTCCTGGCATGGCTCAGAAGGCCTTCTGCAGTCGGACCCATGCTTACCCCAGCAACCTCATCTGCTGTCATTTACACATCCCTCTCTGAGTCTTTATTTTGGGGTCTTCCAACCACCTCCCTACCTATCTCTATCCCTCGGTTGACTGTGAGGTGCCTGAGGTCAGGAATCCTGTCTGTGTCATCCACTACTAGTGCCCGAGTGCTTTCTTGCCTAGCACAGCGCACAATACAGGCGTCCCGCAGTAAGAGTGTGTTGAATGAATGAGAGCTGCAGTGTGTAGGCTGACAGAACCCCCATCCTCTTCCTAATGGCACATTTTCTTATAATAACTTAGTACTTTCACTATTTTTTGCCTTCTAAGGAGACTTGAACAAGTTCTGAAGACGTAAGACACAGCAAATTCTTTAAGCTTCCATTTCCTCATCTGGGAGATAAAGGCTACAGCCTTCGCAGATAAATCTGTAATCGAAAGGGGTTAGACTGGGTCATTTCTGAAATTCGGTTCCGTGAGCCTATATAAATGTAGCCACTGTCCCCTCACTTAAAACTCTCTCTTTACACATATATATGTATATATGTAATATGTTACATATTTATGCCTAATATCTGATAATATATATATAATTTATATAAATATATATGTGCTACTTCTAAATCTATATTTATTTGCCTTATAAGGCCCAATCTCTGTTAAGGTTTGTTTAAATGTTTTTAATGTCAGCTGTGTGTGCTTTTCAAGCTATATTTGATTTACCTCTCTGTGAGGATCATATATAAAGATTATTATATATAAATACCCTCAATGTGAACTGAAAAGCTATAAAAGTTGAGAAATTAATGCATTCATGTTTATTTGCCTATATGAAATAGTATTTGTTTTTATTTTACTAGCTGCATTATTATGAATTAGTATTACCACTCTAGTGAGGATATTTCTGATGGCAACTGCTGAATTGTACGAAGTAGTGAATCTCTTTGGAGAAATAGCACAATATAGATTAGAAATAACAACAGAAGCAACTGTATTGCTTACTCTGAAAACTCACGCTTGGACATCTCATTAGAAAGGTTGCGTATAAAAATTAGCTAGATCAAATAGTCACTGAAAAAGCCAGAGAAATTTATTTTATTCATGTACTTCTGATCTACAACACATCTCAACTTCTCTGCTATTGGAATTCTCCTCCCCTGTGCCTCTTTTCACATGCAACCTCACCATATGCCTGTGTGGCCCACCACAGGCAGGAGCTAAGAATTGAACATGACTTGCCTCTATAACTCTCCAAGACGCGGGCAGAAATGGCTCCAGAAAAGCGAGCCCCGCTTATGTGCTTCCAGGCTTGAGTCCCAGAGGGAAATGTGGCATGACAGGGAGTGACATCATGAGATTTTGGCTCTTTTTTCCTACCAGAGACATACCATTTCTGAGCTGATGTCCTATCCTTCTCCACGTAAGGCATGGTTTCTTTCTGGTGAGAATGGATCCATCGCCTCCCAAAAGCACATAAGCAGATGAATATTTTCCCATTTGGTTCATTTGCTTATTCCCTCATTCATTCTTTATGGAGAAACTAATCATTTGACACTCTGTCTCTCAGTGGTTGAAAGTCTTCAGTACAATAAGGTGCCAGAATTCAGTCTTTGCTTGGTGTAAAGTTACAAACTGTCAGATCATGTCAGAGAGAGGTCTTGGCTAGGAGGGTAATTACTCAGCTCTAGTGAATGATCGTGGGCCACAGAAGGAGGCTTTATTATCCCACAGGCTCTCCGTTTATTACCTCCCTCCCCACAGGTTTCATTTCAGAGGGATGACATAGTAAGGGGCCTCTTTTCTTCCGCAAACTGTTTTTCAGATGTGCTACATCCCTGCAAATGAAATGAAAATGTCCCTTGAGCATGTGTTTTTATTCTTCAATGATAGTACATATACCTGTCCGTTTGGGGTACACATGGCTTTAGGAGAAGGGCAAGAGCAGAATCTCTCTCAGTGAACAATCTCACATTAGTTATAAGTGTCACTGAGTTAGATATTAATGAACACTGCTCTCAGCAAATGGAAGTCCCTCGAAAATTTAGTCCCTGTAACACTATATGATTAAACCAGCACACCATTATCTCTCTTTCCCATGGTGACTGGGCCCACATATTTGAAAATCCTCTCTGATTTTTCTTTATCTCTACGGTCACTGCCTGTTCCTCTACACTTTTGTGTTACTCACTTCTACAGCCCTTTCCTAATTGTCATCCTCGTCTGCTGATCGGTGAAGTGCTCTCTTGCCATCCATGGTGATGGGGCACTTGACACATCTCATCTTGGGGACACTGTCAGTACCTGAGTCTGCATCTTGACTTTTTTTTTTTTTTTTTAATCTCTGATAGCCTCTTTAAATAACCATCTTTGAAGATATCCCTCAAAGCGTCTGTTGAAATTGGGCTACCTTTGTGGTCTTTGGGCTACCAAAGGTCTGTGGGCCACCTTTGTGGAAAGAGCCTAGAATGCTCTTTCTCAGGCCAACACATGGCCTGTGCTTGCAACTCTCTCCTACCTTTATGCTTGCTAGCCCACCCTGTGCACTAACATGAGCTTCCGTTACCTGATTTCTCTCAGTATACCTGGGTGGATGACCCAGCTGGCTATATGACCTTGAAACATCCATTAGATGCCCACAAACCATGGTTTCCTCCTGTGCAAAATGGTTTTCTGGCCTAGAGCTATGTGTTCCCTTCCAGCTGTAAAATTTTATAAGTTATGATCATTAATAAGAGTCTTTGAGGTAAGCATGCTGAGTTGAATTATAAATTCTCTATAGCTCTAATGTGAAGTATCCATTTTTGCTTTCTTATACATGCATGTGAGAGTGTGCTACTTTATGATTTGTTTTTTTTCCTCCTCTGAAGACCTCTAAGTGAGTATACTGCCATGTGGATGGAAGAAATCATTGAAATGATTAAACATGATTATTGGCACTGGGAGGAAAAAGAAGCAGGGTAGGAAGGAAGTTAAGGTCCATCTCCATATAAACAATTGTTAAACTAAAATATCTGTTAAGTTCTAAAAACAGAAGACTCTGATTTCTCTAAGCCCTCTTATTTGTTGTTAATGAAAACATTTATATTTTAAATAGCTGGGCTTTGAAAATGTGTGTCGAAAATGAGATAGAACCAAGAAAAATAAGCAGAATGATATGCTAAACATTCCACAAAACCTTCTCTGCTCTAAGACTCTCTTTACTCTTTTCTTTGCATATAAAATCTATGGGAAATGCTTGGAATATTTATCTAAGGAACCTGCAGATGTGCTGATATAGTTAAAACCATAACTGTTCAATTAGGATTCAATTGTAAATCAGCCGAGGGCTACGTTATTTTGGTAGCAGGGACACTGACACGGGGAGTTCATTT